GCCACTTATCATGCCAAAAGTGAATCCTACATCCATTTCCTATCACCAGCTTGCAATTAGACGTAAAGAATTCGAAGCGCTCTGCATTCTCCCTTAACACACTCAGAATATCACTCCAAACAAGAGATTCTTTGCCAGTCCCTTCCAACATTGGTAACCATCTACCACCAACTCCCCCATACTTGTTCAAAATTACTTTCTTCCACAGAGATTCATCTTCCACCCCATATCTCCACCACCACTTAGTTAGCAAAAAATCATTAAAGTCCCTCACCCTTCTAATGCCTAACCCTCCTTGCTCTTTACTAAGAGTTACTAACTTCCAGTTTACCAAATGAATCTTCCTCCGGATTTCTGAACTGCCCCATAAAAATGTTGCCCTCCACTTATCAATCTCCTTAGCTACCCCTTTAGGTAATTTGAAGAGAGAGAGAGGTAGTAACCAGGCAGACTATCAAGGACAGATTTGATCAGGGTTAGACGACCAGCAAATGAAAGCGTCCTTCTCTTCCATAAGGCTAATTTAGCTTTTACCTTCTCCACCACAGGTTGCCAAGTCTTCTTTCTTCTTGGGTTAGCACCTAGGGGTAACCCCAGGTACAGAAGAGGGAGCTGCTTACTAAGACAATAAAGTTTAGAGGCAAAAGCTTGAGCCAACTCTCCACTAATCCCAACTCCGCACACCACACTTTTGTGGAAATTTATTTTAAGGCCTGACATAATCTCAAAGCATCTAAGAATCCTTTTAACATTTACTATCTCCTCCCACTCAGCATCGCAAAAAAGAATAGTGTCATCGGCAAATTGGAGATGGGACAGATTCAAGTTTCCTGACCCAATAGAAGCTCCCTTAATAACGCCCAGAGCTTTAGCCCTTTCCAACAACACGTTGAGACCCTCAGCTGCAATGTTGAACAAAAAGGGGGAGAGAGGATCACCTTGCCTTAACCCCTTCTGTGGACTGAACTCTTCTGTTGGTGACCCATTAACAAGAATTGAAATTCTGGCTGTGGTGACACAAGTTTTCATCCAATCCAGCCATCTCTCCCCAAACCCAAGATTGGCCATCATAGAAAAAAGGTAACCCCAGTTGACCGAATCATAAGCTTTTTGAAAGTCAAGTTTAAAAATGACACCCTTCTCTTTAGACTTCTTCCACCAATCCACCACCTCATTGGCAATCATAACCCCATCGAAGATATTCCTCCCCCCCCCAAAAAGGCAGTCTGCACTACTCCAATTACATCTGGAAGCACCCTTTTCAATCTTTTGGAGAGAACCTTAGCCAAGATTTTATACACTACACCCACCAAACTAATTGGTCTAAAATCTGACAAACCCGATGGACTAGAAATCTTAGGAACTAAGGTGATAAAAGAGCTATTTAATCCCGAGACCAGCTTACTGTGCTGGTAGAACTCCTACATAAACTGGAAAAAATCACTTTTCATAGTCTTCCAGCATTTCTGGATACACATCATGTTGAAACCATCCGGCCCCGGAGCTTTATTCCCATTACAGTCTTTTACAGCCTCCCAAACTTCTTCCAAAGTGAACTCAGGATCAAGAAACTCCACCACCTTAGCACTATTGATCCTCACAAAACTACCAGACAGTTTAGGACGAGATGGCCAATCTTCCGAAAATGCCTTTGAAAAGAACCTCAGCACTTCTAGTTTTACCAAAGCTGGATCTTCAACGCGAGCCCCCTCCACAACCACTGAGTCCACTAAGTTCCTATTCTGCCTTTGGCTAGCCATAATATGAAAAAATCTGGTGTTCCGATCACCATTCTGAGCCCAATTTACTCTAGACTTTTGGAACCATATCCAATCCAATTTCTTTCTATATGACCACACCAAGTTTTTTACCTCCCTTCTTCTAACAACTTCTTGAGGATCTAGAGTCCCCATTTCTTCCACCAGGTCCAGCTCATGCAACTCAGCTTCAGCCTTTCTAAGTTGGTCCTCCACGCAACCAAACACCTCAGAGTTCCACCGTTTCAACTCGGCTTTGAGACTACACAATTTCACCTTTACTCTGAACCCAGCCCACCCTTGTACCTGCGCATCCAACCAGGACTTTTGCACAACAGACAAGAAGCTAGGATGCAGGGTCCAAGCATTCAGAAACCTAAACGGCTTAGGGCCCCAGTTTTTCTCATCTTCCGTAAGCAATAGAGGACAGTGGTCGGACACCAGTCTAGGTAAGCCCCACAACTTCAAACTAAAGGTTTCTACCCATAGGGGATCCAACAAAAACCTATCAATTCTACTCCACCTATCACCGTCCACAGAATTACACCATGTAAACTTCCTACCCAACATTGGTAAATCCATCAATTCCAGCAGATCAACAAAATTATTAAAATCCTGCATCCCTTTGGAACTTCTAGAGCATCCTCTTCTTTCATCTGGAACTCTAATCTCATTATAATCACCACCCATGCACCAAGGCTTTTGGAAAGAGGATCTTATATTGAGGATAGAATCCCATAGCTTAGCTCTATGAACCACATCATTTGGAGCGTAAATATTTAAGAAAACACACTCAAATGAACTAGACAGAGTACCTGACAGAAGCAAGAAATTTCTGTTACTGCAACACTCTGATAAGGAGAAAACTTCAGGGTTCCAGATACTCAAGAGCCCTCCAGCACTCCCATCCGAATCTGCACCCATAAACTCCAGCTTCTCCCAAGGCCAAATAGATCGCACAAAGGGAACATCAATATCTCTGCTCTTAGTTTCTTGAAGGAGTACAACATCTACTCTTTTTTCTTTAATCAGCTGTTTCACTCTACGACGTTTTTCCAGCCTCCCCAATCCTCTAACATTCCAAGACATGATCTTCATTGGAATCAAGCTTTAACCGTGCTAACACCCCCAATTCACAGCCCCTTAGGTCTGACCCTCCTGACCCCCTTCTGCAATTTTGTCAAACCGCTCTGCATCTTGTAGCTCTAGCTCAACAATCTTTTGTACCACTTCATGCTCATTCCCTTCACAGTTCATACCCAGACGTTTGCCAAGCTGCAAAGTGGCGTGAGCTTCCTCGATAGCCAGCTTCCTTCTCCTACTCGATCGGCTGTTCTGGGACTGAGAGTGTGAGAGGACTGCAACCGCAGCCCTGAGTAACGCACCCCGCTGAAAACTACCTGAAAATGAAGCACCATTTCTGGGCACTCTTCTCCTTCCCCTTCCTCTCGAACCTCCTTCCTTGCCTTCCTGAGGACGATGGGTGTTAATTGGAACCACTGGTTCTCTGCCCACGGTAGTAGTATTGACCCTTACAGGCTCATGGGCTTGTGATAGACACCGAGTCTGCTCTCGGGACTGGGCCAATCCTTTTGGAGTTGGGGGAGCCACTTTGTTAATACGCTGACAGCTAGGCCCATCAACAGGACCTCCTTCTTGGGCCCCTTCTAATACTACCTCAATATTAATACTGGGTCTCCTCCCCTCCGACCCACTCAAACTCTTAACAAATCCTGGAGCGAGTAACGACAACCCACCCGAGGCCACCCTGCTGTCAACACTTACTATTCTTGGTAACTTTTTTAGCATGCTAACCTCCTCTGCAAAACAGCTGTTATCCTTCCTCACGTTAGCCTCCACCTGTTCTACTAGGCCTTCGTGCATGCCACCATCCTTCACCAAGCCACTGTCTGCAAAAGTATCCTTCACCACCGAAATGGTGTTCCCCTGGTCTGACGCCACCAAAATCAAGTTCCCATGCTGCTTTTGGTCAGAGTGGTTCTCCTCCTCGATTCTGACATCTTGTTGAGGGTTAACTCCGGCAACTGAACTCTCCGCCCGGGAAGGTAAAGAGATGTTCAGCCCCCATTTCTGGCGCATCTCATAGTCAAAATCTACACTGTAACTTCCTTCCCCCACCGAAACCTTATAAATTCTCTTATTACACTCGACCTCTACCGATGAGCTAATTGCTTCCAATAACCTAGTATGAACCAATACCTTGCCACAGTTCAGTGATTTTGATCCCACAAGGTTATCTTCCACTCTGATGATGTCCCCCCATAAAGATCCAATACTATGAAGTGTGCTAGTGTTCCATGCATGGAAAGGAATACCATAACAGTGCAACCAAACTAGCCTAGAAGTCATCATCGGCAAATCGTCATCCCATAATCTTATACCGTCACAGAGATCTTGAATGAGGTCTGCCACCAAACTAAACTTCTGGTGTAAAAGCTCTTCGGTTGGAAAATTTAATAGAATTAAATTCCCACCTCCAAAACGAAAATGGATTTCATGTACACTGGAATTCCAGAGCAAGCTCTGCATCTCCCCCAGCATCGACATACTCTTGATACGCACCACCATACATCTCTGTAACCAGTCACTGCCTTCGTCTGAAACTACCACTTGTAACAGCTTATCCGCCTCGTCCCCCCCATTCCTTCACTATGTCTGCATACGATTTTGTTCCTCTACATGTACTCACCCCAATGCCTTTACGACCAGGCACATTGGCTGCATTTGGTTCACCGCCATCCCCTGCTACACCTTCCACTCGTAGTCGTTTCTCATGAGCTTCTCCAGACACCGATCTCTGATAATTCTTCTCATTATCATAATCTGCGAACTTGACCTTCAGTTGTTTCTTGCCACACCAGACCCCATTTGCCTTATGGATCGCCATCTTTGCTGCCACTACACACTCGTACCGAACAAACCCAAATCTTGTTCCCACTTTGCTGCGCTTAAATGATATGTAGGCATGCTTCACCACTCCAAACTTTGAGAACATAATAAACATGCCTTTAGGATCCATATCATACGGAAGGTTGTCAACAAAAATGGAGAACAACTTCAAGCCTGGACCACTTCGTCTAGGACCGGCAGCTCTCCCTCTATAAAACACCGATTGCCAACCCCCTTCAAATCTCTTGCCATCAGCTCTTCCAGCTTGCCCCTCCATCGCCAAACAATTTATTGTATAACTAAATAATATTTTAAGATTCTCTGTAATGTAAACCAAACAAGTTTTCGTACTTTTTATCTCAAAAACTACTCTACATACACATCAAATCAATCACAAGTTTTGTTTTTGTAAAGTCTCTCTTCTCTGTTAAAATTAGAATAAATTACATCATTAGTCATGTAATTTAAATAACGTCTCACTTTAGTTTCTATAACATATTCAATTTCGTTAAAATATGATTCCTCCATCATTTACCATTATAATCTAAAATGAAAAAAATTACCATGTATGCAATTAAAGGGACTAAAGTGTAATTTAAAATAAATTACAAGAACTGTAAGGACGATTTGATTATTTTAATTGTTATTTTGGTTAGTCGAGAAAGAAGTTGTATTTTGGATGATATGTAAATATATATATATATATATATTTGTGTAGTTCAATAGATGATTGTGAGTAGGGGTGGGCGCGGGTCGGTTGCGGCCATAGAACCTCCAATCCGCCATCCGTCCGCCAGATTGGCGGATTGGAGAAAATCAATCCGCATCCGTCCGCCAATCCGGTGGATGTGGATTGAGCGGATTGGTGGTTTGGCGAATGGATGTGAATCGGTTTGGCAGTTTAAAATTTTATAAATTTTCAATATAATTCAACTTATGTACTTCCTCAAAAAAATGAAGAAAATATTACAGTCAACAACTTAAAAAAATATTACAATCACTGCATGCCTTATCCAAAGCAAAAAAGTTTGAAACTTTAGAATATCACATTTACTGCATGCCTCATCCACATAAAGTATTACAATTTGTGGTTTTTAAAATATAAAAACTATTCAAACCACCAAAACCATGAATAGAGCAGTAGTAGAGATTGTATGTCTCTGTATTGTTACATCTATATCTGTTTGTGAAAACAAAAACCAACTAGCATATATCATATTTTCTATTTATTATTTTTAGAGATATATTTAAAAATAAAAAAATATAGATAAATAATACGTTTATTTTATTCAATTCAAAAAAGATATTCAAGTTGAAAACTTTTTTTCAACAGAATATTTAAACTCTTTTTTAATTAAAAACACAAACATAATATTTAAACAAACTGAAAACACAAAGTCTTATAAATTACTAGCGGTGCTCGCGGTTTGGCGGTTCGGTTGCGGCCAAAAGAATCTCAAATCCGCCATCCGTCCGCCAAATTGGCGGATTGGAGAAAATCAATCCGCAACCGTCCGCTTGTCATTACGCATCCGTCCAAAATGCGGCGGATTGGTTCGGTTTGGTCGGTTTTGACGGATCGATATATCCACTGCTCACCCCTAATTGTGAGAGAAAAATTGATTAATTGATATATAACATATGCCATTTTGCCTTATTAATTATTTTAGTTAAAATCCAAGTTGTTAAACAAGGCTATAATTTGTTTTGAATTTCATTTTGGTCCATATATGTGATTTTTTTTTCTTCAAAAAATTAACACTGAGAGATTATAAACCAAATTAAAAATGTAAAGACTAAAATTATTTAAATTGAACTACGAAGATCAAAGTGAAATTTCACTAAAACTAGAGACAACAGTAGTGTAATATATCCTTAAAGGTAGTACTACTACATTTGAAACTCTTAAAATTAGTACTACTAAGGCCTCGTTTGGGGAGTAATCATTTTAGTTAAAAAGTTAAAAAATCATTATAAGTTATTACACTATTCTTTTATTTTTCTGAATATCTTTTCGTAAAAAGTAAAAAAATTATTAAAATAGCATATTCCCAAACAAGACCTAAATTTGAAGGGGTAATGAAAAATTGTTGTAAAATTTTGTGGCTGAAAATTATTATTCAGTGTGATTGATTTGAGTTTTTTGGATTAAATTTTTTAAAAATTGAGTTTTTTGATTTTCGTGTTTTTTTTTTGTTTTTGTTTTTAGTGAATATTTTTAAAATTTTAAATATTTTTTTAAAACTTTTTAGATGCACCTTACTTAGATGTATCTAAAAAGTAAAAAATTTGTAAAAAAAATATTTTAAAAAATTAATAAATATATAAAAATACAAAAAATGTACTGAATTCTTGTATTTTTTTTTAATATTTTTTGTATTTTTAGTATTTAGTGAATTTTTAAAAGGTTTTTTTTCACAACTTTTTTACTTTTTAGGTATATTTATGTTAGGTACGTCTAAAAAGTAAAAAAAATTACTTAAAATATTAAAAAAATTCAGTAAAAACCAAAAAACACAGAAAGTAAAAAAATAAGATTTTCTGAAAAGTATTTTTGAAAAAATTGAACCAAGCAAAGTGTTATTATTTTTTCCCAACAACCTTTTCATGACAATGGGAGTCAATATCCTAAGGTTTTTTTTTTTTTTTTTTTTTTTTAAAAAAAAATTTTTTTTTTTTTTGGGGAAAAAAAAAAAAAAAAAAAAAAAAATATTTTTG